TACAGAACACCTCCACCTTAATGAAGAAGTATATCCATGTTTACTCTCAGCCAACGGCTTCCTGGAAAGGAAAATGATTAATATTGCCACCCACCATTCAAACCGTTCCTTCCCACAAATATGTATAGGTTACCAATATGTTTCAAAGCCATGACCTCAAAAAAAGATGTCTGCCTAATTCAACACCTAAACACACCCTCAAGGAAAACATGCAAAAAATGAGCATATTCCACAAAAAGAAAATGAAACATGCAAGTTAAAGTACTTTGGAATAAACAATTCATTAGATTCTCGAATGCTTTTCTTTAAAACTTACACAACTGCAACTAAAGTGAAAACAAAGGATAAAACCTGAAGGAAGAAATGACAAGTGAGAAAACTAGCATACCCCTAAACGATAAGAACCAAAGGTGAATATCTTAGCATTTGCTTCTTGAACCAATTGCTCATTCAAACCTTTCGCACGGCTAATTGCTTTAACCCAATTCTTCACAATCTGTTTATTTTAAAATCAACAACAACATCATTATCATCATCAATCAATAGAACCCAAAAAAACAAAACCACATTCCATAATCAAGAAAGAGATAGAGGTGCTATAACAAGTCATTCTACCTCAAGTTATTAACAGAAAGACAGTTAAAAACTGTGGACAAACCTGGTCTAGCCTCCCCAGTACTTCCTCTCGACCAACAGCCTCCTCTTGACTCTCATACAATCCCACATTTTGCAAATACTGAACATCCAACATTCCACAAAAACCACAATTCAGGATAGTCTCAAGCTTAATAACTTTAAAAAAAAAAAGATTAAACAACATAGAAGAGTAAAATGCAATTAAACTGAAACCTTTTCTAGCTCTCGGGTTTTGATCACATCGTAGTCAGTCGGTCCACCCAACGAAATAGGTTCCGTGATCCCTAACCTTTGACCATTGTTTCGATTTCCTAATCCAGGACTCCCCATTATTCTTAATTATTACAATTTTTTCCTTTGTTTTTTCTCTCTCTCTTTTTTTGGGCAACCAAATAACAATTAATCAAATTTTATTGATAATATTTTTTTCACAGATTTTTGTGTTTTTTTCTTCCTAAGATATATATTGAATAAAAAGAATAAACGAAGAGGTAAAACTCAAATAATTGTTGATTGTACAGTATTAGGGAGGATACAACCAAAATTGATACTGAAATAAAAACAAATAAAAAAAAGCTAATCCCTTTTTTTCCTTATAATAAGACTATTAAGGGAAGATTACAACGCCAAAATTGGGGGGGCTCCAATAGGAAAACAACTCTAACCCTAAAGGGAAGAAGAACAAGCACAAAACTCAAAAAAGAAAAATACAATTTAAAATCCAAACTTTCGAGAATTTCAAGGTCTCCGCCTTTTATTGTCGACGATGCCAGATGTTGATGTTCACTTCGTTGTTCTTCGTCAGCTATGGCGATCAAAGAAGAAAAACCAAAAATCTCCAACACGAAAAATATTAAAGGCCCCTGAAAACCAACACCAAATCCAAAAAAAGTCAGACAAAAACTGGACGAAGCGAAGGGGAATTTCAGAGAATCGGATTGAGGAAGACAGTTTAAAGGATTTGGTGATTGTTGTGGAAAATTGATCGATACCGTAAATTTTCTTATTTAAAGAGAAAAGAGAAAGAAATTGAGGGGAAAAGGGCAACCTTCAACTTTCCTTCTTTTTTCTTTTGCTCCAAGCGGCTGATAATGGGCGTTTCTAGGCGGTGGATAAAATATACGGAGAGAGAATAAATATGATTGTTTCTGTTTTTTACCCCAACATAAGTTAAATTTTTAGTTGCTGCCCCGTGTTGCCACTCAGCCCATACCAAATCTAAAAGCATGCTCGATCTGATTTTTTTTTTAACTTAAAATTTTTTATAAAAATAATAATTTTTAAAATTAAGTTAAATTTTTTTAATAAATTTACTTTTTATAAGTTTTTTTTATAAATAAGTTGTTTGGTAAAATAATTAATATAAACTCTAATTTTGATTAAAATTATCATAAAAAATATTTAATAAATAATTTTTTATTAATTATAAATTTCTTTACTTAAAATAGAAAATTTTAATTTTATTTTTTATCTATTTAAAATAAATTTTAAAAATATAAAAATATTTT